AATGTTGCTGTCCTCTGCGGGATTCTGTAGTTAATCTTACTACCAAAATAGGCACTTTTGGGGAACTGAATTAGATTGTCAGATAATACGGGTTCCATTTGACAATCTGAACCTTCAATTTGATAATTACTCGCTTTAAGGCTTTCAGAGTGCTGATCAAGCGTGAGTACATTGAAGTATAGGTTAAATTCGTAACGGGGATATTAGCACGCTGTCTACTGGCAAAACCAAGAGCGGTATTGTGGGCAGGTGGGGTGGGTTTTGAGAAAAAGTCGTTCCTTCTTTACATGACTAACTAGAATCTGCCCTTTACGGTGTCTTTTCACACCATGGACGCGCCACAAGTGTGATCTGATGCTTGCACCGCTGTCCCTTTCTCTGACTATCGAGGACTTTGGGGTCTGCCCGTCTGTCCAGGTAATGATGGTCTTTCCTTTAGAAGTTCTGTGTGCATTTCGAGCCTTGAATCCAGACTTACAAAGTCATCAGGTTTGATTGACATGTGGTGGATTTATATCTAGGTTTAGTATTATTATCATAAACTCACTGCAAAGCTGTAAAACCAAATTGAATTGTGGTGCTATTCGGTAACCTCATCATCCATACAACAGCCTAGTCTCTGCGTGTGGAGTGGTTGGTATGTTAGGTTCTAGCTGCTTATTCTAGACTATTAATTATCTTATATGAATGTCATTTTATAAAAAAAAATTCTAAAAGATGAATCCCTTTGGAGCTCTGCTGTTTTGGAGGTGCCGATAAGTGGCCCATTTTGATGAGTATAGTTTGGCCGCAAATCTGTGCTGTCTTCCTCTGGCCTTCCTTTACCAGATGCTTTAGAACACCGTCATTGTAGCCTAACCAGGGGCGGGATTGTAGGCCATCTCGGAATATCACCGAGCGGATAAAGTATAGGCTATTAGTCGGGCAATGATAATTCTGTTTTGCTTTTGTTGAACCTATGATTACGACCTATTCAAAGTATCTCACATTAACCTGCAGTCGAATTGTTGCCCCATGTAACTGGCTTAAAATTTAACCTAACTTAGTACTCTCCGTCCTACCAAAGCAATTCTTATGAAATGATGCCTTTAAAAGAATGAGCTATGTAAAATTACACATTTTAGTCAGGCTAGTCACGAGCAATTGAGAAAAAGGATCATTTCATCGTCTGTGGTGACTAAGTTCCCTGTAATCTTTTTATAAGGAAGGGTAAACAAAGTACTGTAATACCTGAACTTGCCGTTGTTCGGATGTGTATGCGTGTGTGCCTGTTCAAATCCATAAATTATGCATCAAAGCGCACTCCTCGATGCAAACGCTCTTGACACATGTGCTGTTTCCTCATAGGTTTTCGATGGGTGTACTTTTCGGAATTTGGTGGCCAACAGTAACGCTTGTAGAAGAGCTTTCGAGGCTAAACTTAGCTGTGGTTCCACAGTCTTTGCGTCGGTCTTGTTAAATTGCGATAACGTCAGAATCTAGATCCATGTAACCGTTATTTACGATTAAAGGAATGCCACAGACAACAAGCCCGATCAGCTGGTCCCCGAGGACGAAAGAACTGAGAAAGGTGGTTTATGAATGCTGGTAGATATTGCGAAAGCGGTGTGAAATATTGAAATGATGCTTAGAGGTACCTACGAAAACATTAAGAAGCATATGCGTGGAATGTGCGGGTAAGCCTGAACAACTAATTAGACAAGACGGTTCTCTGTGGCACAATTGGTTGTCCACAAAGCTAGATTTTCGAGTAATTTTAACTAGCGCACTGATTTTTTTCTACTGAAAGGTACGCATTTGTGTTGCCTAACGTTTATCTTAAATGAAACTGAGCAAAATTGAATGAATGCGTAATATCAAGCTGCTCGTAATTTGTTTTTAGCATGTAATATGAGCTCAAATTATTTGGACTTCCACATCCAAGGAACCAGTCAAAACCACTTGGGAGGGATTTATTTTCGTTAGGCCTTTTGCATCATAAGTGAAGTCAACGTATTGAAATGTGTCTCCTTTACTTTTCTACTCCCTACTTACACATTTTTTTTGAAATTGAAACTGGTTTTAAATCTTAACATTAGAAAGAGTATTCTGTTTTTGATCGAGATGTCTCCGTTGTAGCCTAAGACTGCCAATTAGGATGAGAATTCATTTCCTCCAGATGTTGTCCGCTTCTTTAATAATTGGGAGTAGCCTATCTATAAAATTGCCACTGATCGTAATAATGCAGCTGATTAGATGCTTTTATAGTTGTGAATTATCTTCCGTGGTTCCCAATTTGGTTTTTCAGCTTTACGAAGTCCAGCAACCGTCCTTACAAACGCGCATCAAGTTATTAACTAACGTCTTAACCAATTAATTTCACGTTACTGTCTTACACAGTTTTAAAAGAAACGAAAATATGCGTTTATGTTTGTGCTACAAGTGCTCGAGAAGGGCAGTTCAATGCGTCGAATGAAACTTATTAAAGGGGCTTTTCTAGTTTTCATAAAACACTCAAACTTTCTGTTTATTGTAGTCGGTTCTTACGGTTTTATGATACGCGACATCCTGCGCACGCCGATTAACTTGCAATGCCTTCTTTCCAAGTGGCATTGAAACGGTTAGGGAATATGTAGACTTTGAAATTATTATTTTGCTATTCCCACCAACGCCTTTGTTTTAGACCTCTGGCGCAACAGGTCACCTTCAATATCACCTTGAATCCGTCACCCAAAACGACACTGGCGGATACCTTTGTGTGGCTTCCGTGCCCAACATGGAGGCAGCCAGATGGAGCTATATGTTTCTCCAGGTCGAAGATTGCTCTTGTACGTTAGCTTTCGGTCTTTTTTAAAACATGTATTTAAAGTGCCTTACCACCTAACCGCTTTGACGACTAGATTA